CTGTAACCACTTGTGCCATGGACAACTTCTGATTGATTATGAGTGTCCTAGAGTCAATATACTTTTCATCTTTGGATTCAGGAACCATGCATGCTGGGAATTAAAACACACTTTCCCCAAGGGACTTAGGGATGAATAGTACTGCCACACAATTGAAACTACAGCAACTACTGGGACACAACCAAGTATCATCGAGTGTTCACTTCATTGAATTAAGGACATATATGCATGGGTTCCTATGTCCATGGCAAAATTATACAACTGACTTCACTTCTTGCTGTATTCTAGACTAACGATACACTCAAAGACGCTGACAGCATTGGCAGTTAAAAGAAATAGCATCTAAACCAAACTTAGAGATCCCTATTACCAAGGCTGAAGCACCCACCCCACTGATGTCCTATATCTCAACTAGCAGCCAAACTGTTTCCCCACAAAAGCTAATCCATAAAACCTGAAAAGTGGCTATCAGAACATAAGAATGCACATTGACCCAGGGAAACACACCCAAAAGGAAACACGGCTTCTCCAAAGGAGAAAAACAGTAATGTTTCCAGCCATAGATTTCAAACTGAAATGCCAGAAAAAGAATTCAAAAGAAAGATCCTAAGAAAACTCAGTGAAATGCCAAGAGAACACAGACAGACAATTCAAGGACGTTTAAAAAATACAGTGGTATGTGAAATTCAACAAAGAGATATACGTATTTTAAAAAGTCAGAACTTTGGAGCCTAGTTTGGAATCACTTCGATACCATTTGTTCTTGTCTTGTATGACAGGCTAGAACAAAGGAAAGAAAGTATTTCAGAACCTGACAAGTCTTTTGAGTTAATCTAGTCAGATAAAAGGAAGAAAAGAAAGGAAGAGAAGGGATGGGATGGGATTTAAAAAAGACTGACATAACATTAGCTGCGATACCAATGACTAAATCTTCCCATTATGATAAGTTCAGAAGGCCAAGAAAACAGGAATTTAAGATTCATATGAAATAATGGCTAAAGTTTTTAAAGGGTTTAAGAGGTAAGAATACCCGTGTATAGGCTGCTCAAAGGACCACCACTAAATAGATTTAAGCCCAAAAGGATAATCATTGTCACACGCCGTGCTCATTGACATATTGTGAGAAATTATAAGAAAGAATAAAATACCATGAACATACCTGTGTAAGACACACACAAGGAAATTCCATCTATATTTTCAGCATAGTTCCCAATAGGAAGCTCCCAGACCAGTATCAAATGCATGAGATCCTGCCAGCCATGACAACTGAACTCAGCAGAACCATCCTTCAGAACTGAAGTCAAAACAAAGACTTTTTCAAACAAGCATAAACTGGGGGAATTTATCACCATCAGATCAGCTCTATAAGCAATACTTTTGAGTTTCGTCCTAGGGATCAAAGATAATAATTACCATCATGAAGGCACATGTTTTAACGTGTGCAGAAATGTCATAAAATACTCAATAAAGATATTCAAATAGTGCTGCTACAGAAAAATCAAATCAATATCTATCTCTCCAAACATATAGGCCATGGAAAAATTTTGTTTGTCACAATTTAATTACTTTTTCCTTGTTTCCTATTTGCACATAAGATAAACACAAAGTGAAACAGTGAATATTACTTTTGTGATTTTTTTAGTCTTATTCTTTTAGAATTGCAGAGAAGGAAAACATAAGAAAATCAGTCAGGTTGCTAGAATGTACACAAAGTAAGAGCATTTGCTTTGTTTTACATGTTGGTGTTCAGAACGTCACTGCAGTCTCTGGTTACAAAAAGATTCTAAAGAAAGCTTTCATCAGATGTCTTTATTTAGCACTGTATTTCCTATGGAGGTACCAAAATTATGTTTAGAAAGAATGCAGTGGAGAATGTATGTATGTATGTGTGCAAGCATGTATGTATATATGTATTATAATGGGGAAATTTCATGAACAAAAAGAATTACATGTGTTAATGGCAACAAACGTTTCTTTGTCCAGAGGTTAGATTGAAAATTGTTCTTTGAGCATCTGATGGATGACCTCATCACACTGGAAGTAGGTCTCTGTGCGAAGACTGGCAGCTTACCTTTATGTTAAGAGACGTTACCTTGGGGATGCATCTGTGAGGAAAGAAAAGTTGTTTCAATGACTGGCGGCTCTAATATATTCATCTCTACCTAAACCCAAAGATGCTTCCTGATTATTTCTTATCCCAAACAAGAAGCCAGTGTGGCAAGTCAGCCAGACATCATAATAGTGGAATTGATTTTACCTCCTGCTCTTTTTTAAAAACCAAATATATTAAGTATCTTCAAGTAGTTATCAAAATCCTGACTATTGGGTTATCCTAATGGTCTGTTAGAGACTTTGGCATCCTAAAAAAGAATGTTAGTGTATGAGATGTACCTACAATGGTGTGTAATATTTTAATAGTAGTTACATGTACAATGCTGCATTGTAACAGGAGATGAATCTCAGAGAGAGTAAAAGACAAAATATCAACAAATAAGCTCTTAAAACTTTCATAATGTAACTTAATAGACTGTATTTTACTGGGGAAAAAATGGTCTGGGAGTGCAGTTCTTTTACAGTAGAGTTACTTATTTAATAAACTTGCAACATGTAAGAGGCTCTATTAGGGTTCACCTGTGAAGAAATGCTATCTATTCTAAGCTTTGTGTCTGTGAGGTTGCACATAGCAAACTATGGTTTGATACTTTCTATGGCCAGGAACAGTTGGATACAGCAGGTCTGACACAGGGAAAACTGGGGACATGGGAACTTGCTCAGGTTCTAGCCCTCTTACTGTCTGATGTGTTTCCAACTCAGGCGGTTGTTAGTCTCTCATTTTCAACCATAGCACACTGTTCTGTTGTCTAGCTTTTCCATTTTTCCACAAAAATGGGTTGGACTGGAATCAGCATTTGAACATATTAGCTCACTCATCTCGAGAGTTAGTATAGTAGCTTGGTAAAGCTTTAAACATCTCTCTAAAATTGTGCCTCTCATGAAATATGTTTCCTCTGAAAGTTAATTAAAGGATGGTACAGGAGACTATTTCCTGGACACAACTTCAGTATCAAAGACCCTGAGGTTGACAATTAATGAATGGGACCTCCTCAAACTGAGAAGCTTCTGTAAAATGAAGGACACAGTTGACAAGACCAAACAGTAGCCCACAGAAGGGAAAAGATCTTCACCAATCCTACATCTGACAGAGGGCTTATCTCCAAAATATGCAAAGAACTCAATAATCTAGTCACAAAAATACCAAATAATCCTATTAAAAAAATAGGGTACAGAACTGAAGAGAGAATTCTCAATAGAGGAAATTGAAAAGGCTGAAAGACATTTAAGAAAGTGCTCAATATCCTTAGTTATCAGAAAAATGCAAATCAAAATAACTCTGAAATACCATCTTACTTCTGCCAGAATGGCTAAAATAGGAACACCAATGACAATTATGCTGGAGAGGATGTGGTGAAAGGGGAGCACTCCTCCACTGCTTGCTGTTCCTCAGGAAAAGGGGATCAGTCCCGGCAATTCCCCTCTTAGGCATATATCAAATGATCCACATCCAAGCAATAAAGACATCTGTTCAACTATGTTTGTAGCAGCATTATTTTTAATGGCAAGAACCTGGAAGCAACCTAGATGCCCCTCAACTTAAGAATGCATGAAGAAGATATGGCACATCTACACAATGGAATACTACTCTGTGGGGAAAAAAATAGAATCTTGAAATTTGCAGGCAAATGGATGGAACTTGAAGAAACCATCCTGAATGAGGTAGTTAATCACAAGAAAGAAGAACATGGTATGTACTCACTCATATATGGATTTTAGACACAGAGCAAAGGATCATCAGCCTATAATTCATACTGCCAGAGAAACTAGGATACAAGGAGGATTCTAAGACATTCTTACAAGGTCCCTCACAGAAGGGGCACAAGTTCTCCTGAGCACATGAGGAGTGCAGGGGGAGAGGCAGTGAGTGGAGAGGGAGTTAGGAGAAAGAGAAGGGGAGGAGAGGAATGTGCATGGTACTAGGAATATTAAGTCAGGGGAGGAATAGATGAGAGAGAAAAAGAGAGAGAGAGAAGTAGAGAGAGCCATTATAGGTTTGAAGAGAAAACTGACTATAGAGAAATAAAATATCAAGAGACCTACAAGACTAACCCAAACTAACAATTTGAGCAACAGTGGAAAGTCTACCATAAATGCCCTTCCCTGATAATGAGATTGATGACTATCTTATCCACCATCATAGAGCCCTCATCTACTAGCTGATGGAAACAGAAGCAAACACCCACAACTAAACACTGAGCCAAACTTCTGGAATCCAGATGCAGAGAGGGAGAACAAGACCAGGCTTCAGAAACACATAGAGACAGCTGACATGAACAAGGAGGAGCTAATGGGCCCCCAGACTGACAGCTGGGAATACAGCATGAGACTTAGTCAGACCCCCTGAACATGGGTCTCAGCTAGAAGGCCTGAGCAGTCTAAGGGACCTCAGACAGTAGAACCAGGATGTATTCCTGGTGACCCAAAGGACTTTGGGTGCACATTCCCATGGTGGGATACTCCCTTGAAAAGTAGAAGCAGGAGGGAGGGCCTAGTCCTTACTTCAAATGTCTTGACAGATTTAGATAACCCCTCCTGGAATGCATCACTCTACAAGTGGCAAGGGGGGGGAGGGATAGGGTGGGACATTGTTGGGGTCATAGGAGGGTGAGAGAGAGGGAAGGAGAGGGAACTGGGAGCGATATGTGAAATAATAAAAATAAATAATAATAATAATGATATATATACACATTTAATATATTATGTCAGCAGTCAAATGTAGGAGCATGAAGATGACCCTCCCCCTGATCTCTTAATGAATTCTTGGCACCATACACCTAGCTAACGCCCATGCACAAAGAGAAGAATCTCACAAAGAGATAATGCTACCCACAGTGGAAATGGGTGACACATACATCTCTATAACTACTTGGGTCCATCATACTCACCAGTTAGAGTGCTGAAATCTGTGTCTTCGATGTTTTTGTCTAGCTTTTTGTTCTGTGTGACCAGTAATTTCTCTCTTAGAGGATGAATATGGCAGAGTGACATTGTATGTTCTCTTCAGAACAGAATGTCTTAAAAATGGACTGAGCTGAGGGGGGAAAAAAAGCAAATTATTTCAATTATATCACCTATACTATTTGAAGGATTAGTTTAGATAAATGAACAGTGATCTCATTAATACAAACCAACTCACTGGTACCATTCATTAATACCCTACATGCTTGGATTAGTATCTCTCAGTGTTCTTATCATGTAAAAAAAGGTTACTAGTCATGACCTTAACTAATAGTACTTAATATTCTTTAAAAAAAAAGTTAATATATTTGAGAGAAACTAAGCTTTTTGGTAAAACCTAAAACCTTCTATTAATGAAATATATATTTTATGTACATTGTGACCTGTAATTTTTATTTTTTTAAATCTTTTGTTTCCAATAGAAGCAAATACTAATTTTTCACACATGCTTTCTCCCAACATTTGTCCTTCGGAAAATATTTGGTGTATAAATTTATAAATACCATCTTTCCAAGACTATTTAAGTAATGTGAACATGAGATAGCAAGATATACCCCATTTACCTTGCTCAGGCAACATACCAATGAAAACACTCAGAAGAAAAAGAGTTTGAAACAACTAAAATTAAGGCAATGTGCATTCACCCACTGTTATCTAAGTGTCTTTTTGGAGACATTTGCAAAATCAGGAGGATGAAATTATGAGTCTTCTTTGGTCCTTGTGAGTACTGACTGAATTCATCCATGTGAGCATATCAAGCTGAAAACTGTGCTAACACAACCCTTGCAACACCTCCTTCTTGGGTACTCTGCCTTCCCAGTGACACACAGTAGGCCTGATGGAGGAGCAGGGAATCAAGGGGAGTAGTTCCAGCAAATAAGGTGAGAATTATGCATTCTAGGGTTCGTAGTTTTCCACTGGGGTCTGAATGTGATAAGACATCAGTTACAGACTTTAAATCAGCATCAAATAGGAGGACGAGTAGCAATGAGACAAACAGAAGTTTGTCACCCAGTTCTGAACTTCAATTTCCTCATGCCTCAATGGATTCTGAGCTGTTTCACCTTATCTTACCTTACATTTCTTGGGAAAATTAACTCAGTTGAGGAACATGAAGTAGTCTTGATTGGTATATCTTCCCCATGTTTACCGGAACATATAGACCACTACCCTACCATCCTGTGTAGTCTCTGGATCCTTAGTCTAGTGCTGTTGTTCTCAACCTTCCTAATGCTGCAACCCTTTAATGCTGTGGTTACCCCAACAAAAGACTGATTTTTGTTGCTACTTCATAACTGTAATTCTGCTACTGTTGTGATTCATAATATTATTATCTATGTTTTCCAGTGCCCTGAGGTAACCCCTGTGAAAGGTTCTTGGGCCCCCAAAGGGCTGTGACACACAGTTTGAGAACTGCTACTCTAGAGATTTGTTTTCCCCTCTGCCCTGAAATAAAATGTATGGTGTGTTCAAGTCAATTGCTCCCTTGTCAGTTTCTCCTCTTGCCAATCTTACACACAGGAAAGGCAGAATTAGAACAATTGTATTTTAATTCTGAAATCTAGAATATGTCACAGAATTGCCAAAATTCTCATTGTGTGTATGTAAGTGTGTGTGTGTGTGTGTGTGTGTGTGTGTGTGTGTGTGTGTGTGTGTAAAACTGGAGGCCATAGTGTACTAAAAAGAGGAAAAGAGAGTTATTCAAACCATGTATTGCCTATTCCCTACCAATTTCCAAGCAAAGACACTGGCTTCAGAAGGTTGAGGGTCTGTCATTATTTGAAATGGTGAAGTGAGGAGTACCATTAGGAACCAAAGGGTGGAATAAAAATGTGTTAGTGAGGCCCTAAGTTTCTATGTTGCTAGGTACTCAGCATAGAAGGAGGTTTCTAACAGGCTCATCACAAAGCTGAGATACTAGTAGAGCTGAATTTGGGTGCAAATATGTAGAAAGAGTGGATTTGCAAAAGCTTCATCTACATCAGAAGCAAGAAATGACCAATTTACAAAGTCACCGTGGCATAGGTTTTTTCTACACCCTTCCCTAAAGGCTCCTCATGCAAAAGACTTCTGATATAGAAGTTCTGCCTTACAAATACATGATGGCACCATACATTACAGCAAAACTTAGCTCTATGTTATCTAAAATAGAGTGACTCATTTGGCAAACAGCGGTGAAGGAAATAGAACATGTATCTTTAAGTATCAGCATTTAGCATCATATGACAAAGTTATGATTCAAGCAACAAAAAAAAATGGGTATAGTCAAAGGATATCGGTGTTGAAATGAACTCTTTTGTGTTTATAAAAAGAAAATGACTACATATCATCTAGACATTATGTATCTATGAATATTAAAGTATTTAAATGTTTAAAAAGTATAATCATAGAAATCATAGAATCAATAGATGAAAATACTAGTTGGGAGAGCTAGCTAATAATAAGTCTGAGCTAATAGGATAAACAGTTTGTAACAATATTAAGCTTCTGAGTGATTGTTTAGAAGTGGCTGCTGGAACCAGCAAGCAGGGGAGAAACAGGTCCAGTGGTCCAGACATGACAGAGGAAAGTCTTCCTGATACAGCTTACTCTACCTAGGATTTTATTTTAGAAAGTCATCCTGATTTAATCACAAGAAACTGAACATTATTTCAAAAGTCTAGGCAGAACTTTGTGCAATGGTTTTTGTATTTATTAAAACAAGGAAACAAAAAGGTTGTAATAACTACTTTACTAAATAAAACATGTTACTATTTAACATCAAATGATACACAGACACTAGAGGATTTGAAGATTCACTATAGCTGAAGCAACAGAATACTGAAGGACAACAGCAGATTCACGGAACACCCCCCACATCCACAGTCAACTAGCCTTTGATAAAGGAGCAAAGCAATACAGCGCAGGAGCAAAGACAGCCCTCAGAGGTATAGGAAGCCAGGGGGGACAAAATTAGCAGTTTAACTCTGAGTAAGATGTAGGAATGATCAAAGAATTTGATACTGAGTGAGAAAACTGAACTGACAGGGATTCCCACACCGAATCCTCAATTCTAAACCACTGAGAAAACATTGAAGTCACAACTCCATTCCTCCTACCTCACAGGCATGTAGTAGAAACAGTAAGCCTGGCACCCTTACTTGAGACTGGGAATCAGTCATTCTGTTTTCCCATCATTTTATGCTTAAGATAGTGCTGAACTTGGGATAGGCCCTTTGTGTATTTAAACTTCCTGAAATCATGTGCAGACTGTGAGTTTTGGTATGCAGAAGTCTCTGAAAGTGCATCCCTGTAGTAAAGAGTAGCCTAATATGCTCCTTGGAGTTTTATATTCTGTGTCTTATGGCTTGCAAAACTGACTTAAAATTAATGTGAACTAAGAAAAACTTATATGTGTTGTTTCATTTAAATGATGATGAATGTGCTTGAATCGTGAGTTACAGTGGAGGAAAAAATCCATGCACTTTTAAAGCCGTGTTTCTGCCTCAAATACCTAAGGAAATAAATTAGAATATACTCTAATTTTCCTTTGGTTATAGCTTTCAGTAAATGTATAAATAATATGGCATATATTCATTATGTATCATAAAGTATATTGCTTAAATCACTTTAGTCACAAGGGGTTATTAGTGCATATTTGTTCAACTGTTTGTTAGGATTAAAAATATATGTTTTCTTCTCCATAATATTGAATGCCTTACCAAATCACAGTTAAAAAATACATTTTAAGAAGATGCAGCACTTTGTTATTGGTCAGAAAAGAAAATGAATAGGTAAGGAGCTGTTAGCTTTTGCTGTAAATACTTGATAGAAGATACAATACTGAAACTATTAACAAATTGCTTCAAAAAAGTCACTGCCCAGAAAGACTAAGAAATTCTTCTCCAATGTAAAGGTGATTAATGACTAATGCATGACTCTGGATGTGAAATATTAATCAAACAGTTAGAGAATTAGAATAAGATCTATATTAAAGATAATAGAATAGTAACAATGAGAATTCCTGATTTTTACCACTGCTCTATCATTTCAGAAGAGAATACCTTCCTGGAAAGAAGATAAATTATGATGTGGGTTAAAGTAAAAGATTATGATGTATTATAGATCCAATAATATCATAAAATATAGTATATAAAAATGCAGAGCTATGTGTGTGAGAGAGAGAATAGAAGAGAAAAGGGAGGAAAGTTTAAAACGTATTTCATGCTAACAATTAGAATATCAATCTTTGGATGTTTTTCAAATGAAATGTAATAATGTGTAGCCGTATTTTTTTTTCTTACTTTGGTTTTATGTGTCTGGGTGCTTTCTCTGAACATATGTATATGTACCACAATGTTTCTGGTGCTCTTAGCGGCCAGAAGAAGGGAAGTAGGAGCCCCTAAACCTGGAATGACAACTTGTTTGGGGCCAAGATGCTAGTGCTGGGAACTGAACCTGGGTCCTAGTGGAGAACAACAGGTACTATAAACGACTGAGCCAGCTCTCTCCAGCCCCCAGTGTGCAATGCTACCATGACAATGTCTTCTCTGGGCTCACAGTTCCGGTGGTTACCCTTTGTCTTCCTCTAGAAATGGAAGGTTTGGACTGGAGTGCTGGCTAGGTAGTTAAGGGTACTGGCTGTGGACTGCATTTACTTCTTTGGGCAGCATAGCTATAGCTAGCTCATGTGGAAGATTTGTTTTCGGTTGTTTTTGAGGATTCTCCACACTGATTTCCAAAGTGGTGTGCACCAATTTGCATTCTCACTAACAATGAACGATGGTTCCCCACATCTTTGCCAGCCTTTGTGGTCAGCTGTTCTGTTGATCTCAGACATTCCGACTGGAGTGACATGAAATCTCAAGGCTATTTCAATTTGTATTTCTTTAATTGCTAAGGGTAATGAACTCTTTCTGAAGTATTTCTTAGTCATTTTTATTTCTTTGATTGAGAACTCTGTTTAGATCTCCACAGCTAATGAGGTAATGGACCTGAAAAAATAATCTACCACTATCACTTTGCTAGATCAGCAAATGTCCTTCTTAGTTTATGGATATAAATCTTTCTAAACCATACCCTTATACACACAGA